TGTGAAGTGGTACTTTGCTAAGTCAAAAAGTAAATTAGTCGATTTGAAAAGGAGATTCAGACAGAGATATTTATTTCCATTATGATGAAGTAATGAAGTGTCTTGCTGTTGTTGCATCTTTTGCTTCTATTAAGAAAAAACACTCCAATATTGCTTTCTAGATAGTGTTTGCCGATTTTCCAACGATTAATTCTTCAGCACACGCTTTCCACAGAAAAAAAGCATTTAAGAAATAGCATAAAGCAGCTTCTAATAATTTCTGAATGTTCTGCAAAATATTAGGAGTAAAACGAGTTAGAGTAACGTGCGTATTAGCGTAGTATGAGCGCAAGTGAACGTGAACATCACGAGTGAGCCAAAAAACATTCTTCCTAGATGATAAAGCGCTTTAATGGATTGCTCTCTCAGAAAAAATGGCGATTATAACATTTTGCCTACACTTACTCATAGCAACGAACGACAGCAATAATATGACAAGACCTCCTAAAAAGTGCGTGCTGCCAAAAGAAGTACATTTTTCTATCAGTAAACAAATGACAGCTGCTTAGGTATAAATTTTTCGAGATTACGTCTACAACAATCGACTACTAACGAACCGTTCATATGCGCATCTTCCTTCTTGCAGGTAGTACCAAATTTTCTACATTAAGCTCAAAAAAAGTTATGAACTTCAGGTTTAATAGGATTAGCGCTAGGATCAGGCAGCCTGTTAGATTCTCTGCGTTATAACCCTAACTTCAAAGACCAGATATTCTTATGGAGAAGTTTACGTCCGAAGCCAAAATGGAATACCACCACAACCATAAAGCTAACGACAAGAGAACAGCCAACAACATCAGTAGACGCAACTATACGTAAGTGACATCGCAGCTGTAGCCTAAAGAACCTACAATTACGAAGAATTTAGAATTTACTACTGTAAAGTCTGAAGAGCGCACAACATTGGAGCCTGAAGAAGGTACAACCATAGAGCATAAGGAATCTACGACCATGGAGCCTGAAGAGCCACTAACCAGGGAACCTGAAGAGCCAATAACCAAAGAACCTGAACAACCAGCAACCAAAGAAGCTGAAGAGAACACTACCATGGAGCCTGAAGAGATCACAACCGTGCAGCCTGAAGAGCCCACAACCATGGAACCTGAAGAATATACAACCATGGAATCTGAACAGCGCACAACTACGGAGCCTGAAGAGGTCACAACAGTGGAACCTGAACAGCGCACAACTATGGAGCTTAAAGAGTTCACAACAGTGCAACCTGAAAAGCGCACAACCATAAAGCCTGAAGAAACATCAACCATGGAACCTGGAGAACCCACAACCATGGAACCTGAACAACACACAACTATGGAGCCTGATGAGTTCACAACCGTGGAACCTAAACAGCGCAAAACTATGGAGCCTGAAGAGTTCACAACCGTGGAACCTGAACACCGCACAACAATGGAGCCTAAAGAGTCCACAACCGTGCGGCCTGAGGAGCCCACAACCATGGAACCTGAAGAGCCCAC